CCACACCGAGTTTGACACCAGCCTTCATCAAAGTGCAACTTGGAGGTGTCACCAGCATGTTCTTTACATTTTGGCCCACTTTTTTTTTATTTTTTCCCCACTTGATATCTCACTTCTTGTTTTTCTCCAGGAAAAAAAAAACAACCCACAAAGTAAAGCAAAGCCCCAAATGCAAATTAAAACAGCAGAGGAGCGGTTAGCTTTCTGCTCAAGCTTGCCCACTCACGCTGTGGCGCAGAGGAGGAGTAGGAGGAGAACCAGCCGTTAAACAGAAGGGGCCTCTCGGTCCCAGTATGTTCTCAAACTTCCATCGGCGGAGCTGGGAAAACCCACCTACTCGGTAGCAGCCTGGCAAACATCGAGGTCTGGGTCCTCGCCTCCTGCAGCGTTAAAAACCTGAACGCGGTGGGAGATTCTAAAGAAAGAGGAGATTAAAAAAAAAATACCGAAGGCTCCCCGTTAAAGAGGAACCCTTCTGAATGCAAACTCAGGTCACTGCCAGCTCCCCGTGTCTGCAGGAAGGCTGACCCCAGACCCCTCCTGTCCCTCATCTCCCTGCCGAACAGCTCTGGGTGCGTTTGCTGGGCTGAGCCGTCTCCGCGCTGCTATTCCCAAGCCGGTGGGTGGCCAGGAGATTGGCAGCAGTGTCAGCTTCATGCTGCTGCCTGCCAAGCCGAGCCCGGGAGCCAGCAGGGAGTTATGCAATGAGAGAAGGGAGACCCGAGGGGGGAGAAAAAGAAGAGGCTTCAAGAAGGAAGAAGTGCTGCTGGCTCCTGAGAGAGAGGGGCAAGGATCCCTAGGATCCGGTGGAAAAGAAAGGCAAAGAAGGATAAAATGCCTCCATGGTGTCAGCCCCAGCAGCCAGGGAGGAGACGCAGTGTTGTAAGGAACCGCAGCGCCACATTTTGCTTATTTGGGAGAAGGGATCTGAGCTGTCTGTGGGATCTCCCTGGTGGATTCACCACCTTTCTTCCCTCCCTGGGGCCTGGAGCATCTTGAGCTCCCTCTTGCCCGACCTGCTTCTTGGTATGGCTTGTGTTATACCCAGGGTAACTCCGCTGTGTCCCTGCAGCATGTCTTCCCCATTTGCACTTGAGCAACAGCGGGTGGAGAAAATAACCTGGCTGGAATGTGGCTGCTGACACCCCGAGAGGCACGGCGGCATGCCAGCGGGGTGAGCCCCGGCTTCCTCTCCGCCAAAAATCCCAACCAGGGATGAGAGCTCCTGGACGTGCACCACGGCCGAGCAGGATTTTCCATCCACCTGACTGCAAGGCTTCGCTAGCAGTAAGCCTGGTATAGGACGCTGCAAATCTTGCCCTTCCCGTAGCACTGTGGGCCCCAAAACCTTAAACGTGACCTTGGAGGGAGCCTGAAAGAAAAGGTCTAAGCAGTATGGACCTGCTGGGGCACTGTAATATACAGATGAAGTACTTAATTGCCTCTAATAAGGGAGAGCACTGATCCTGTTATGCAGCTCTGCGCTAGCTACTGCAAGCGGCACATCATTAAGTTCCATCAGCTGCCGGCACGCACTGTCGCTCCCCTATCTGATGTGCAGCCGCAGAACCCCGGGGGCATCTGGGCTTTAGCAAGGGGGGAGCGAGGCTCTGCCCCAGCCTGCGCGTTTCTGGTAGCCAGTGCAGGGCCAAGGATCAGAAGCCTGACCCTCGGCTGCTGCAAAAAAGGGGATTCTCCTGGGTCCACCCAGGTGACGTGCGTGCGTGGATGACTGCTGGGCACCATCCCCGGCATCTCCTGTAATTAAAAAAGGCCATCAGCACTGTTTGGTCTTAAATGAAAACCAATGCCTCTGTCAAATTTTGGGAGCTGAGGTCTGATGCACCTGCTAATACTTTAATTTAGCTGTTCCCCAGGGCACAGCCGAACCCCATCCCCGAGGAACCTAGAAGGACAGCTGGGCAGATAGCACTAGGAGGTTGTCTGCTCCATCACTAAAAATAGCTGCGTGTGGACACTCCTCTCCCAGCTCGATCCCGTCCCCAGGCACGCTCATCTGGGCTCTCTGGTTTTGGCACATCTGGGAGGCAGGGCAGCTGGGGTCACGTACTTAACGACATGCAAGTGCAGAAGTCCTCTCCAATCTCGGGTGACTTTTCTGTTCCCTGCTGGCATTTAGCTGGGAGGAAAAGCTTTGCAAATGTTCCCAGCCACTCCATCCTGATTCAGACCAGTTGCACTCAGGGACGGCGGCATATTTGATACGCACTGTGTGCGATCTTTTGTTTCACTCAATACAGAGTTGTGTTTAAAGCCCTGGGCAACTCGGCTTTCCTTCTGCTTTAGCTCAGCCACTCAGTTTTTTAGGCTCCCACAAACAGCAAACAGTCTCTTCCTCAGCTCCTTTCTCTGCATAATGGGAATAATATTTACCAACTCCAACATGTGAATCTGAAGGGTATGTGGCAAGCCTCTTAGAGAAAGCACTGAGTTCAAAGACACTTATAATAATACATATTATCTTTACACCACATCTATAATTACAGCAAAGTATAGTCTGTCCTGAAAAACTGAAAAAAAGCTTTCACATCTCAGTGTTATTTCATGCTTTAAAAGCACTCACCACTCTATTAATGTTTTGCAATCTTAGCAAGAGCAACTTTGGAAGTGCTTTTGGGTCTTTTTTTATTGTTATTAGTATTAAAATCAGGGGAGTCTTTGTTAAGGTGCCCAAACAAGATCACCAATGATCCTGTAGCCCATCATTATCAGCTTATCTGGCACAGTGAGTCATCTAAGAGCTAAACTATTATGAAGCTTATCCCATCTGCTTGAATAAATACTGCATCCAAAAAGACTGTGTTAAAGGAACAGAAAGGCTGCCAAATCCAGCACTGAAGGTTATACTTGCCACTTCAGCTCTGCTACTTCCCCACCTAATTCAGCCCATTTTGTGTCTGTATTGTGCTACTCTTCCACTCTGCAATCACTGTCTGTTTTCTTTACGGTGGGAGCAGTCTCACAGCCCTTAAGTCTTCTACAGAGAAGCAGCCTCAGGGATCAGGGATCAGGTGGAGGGAAGGACAGCTGCTGCTCCAAATGCAGAGAGCCAGCAGAAACCGTAGAGGAGTAAAAGCTGGACAAAGATGCCAAGTGTCAGTTCCTAGACATCCACAGCACACAACTACTCTGAACTGCCAGGGTAGAGAGGAGCCTGTGCTCCACCTTATTTGGCAGCTCTGTTGAGGACTGATGACTTCTGGTTTTTCAAAGGCTTAATACTTGGCTGAAGGCAGCATTTTTCCCAATCCCCAAATTTCAAGCACAGGCTCTCAAAAACACCCCATTTACAGACATGCTCTGACAGAGGCAAAACACTGGTTTTTCATTCCTTAGAAACACCTGAATCATTCTTCCCTGCTTTGCAGAGATTATCCTCTTTTTCCATGAATTCCCAGCTGTGAATACTTGTGAACCCTCTCTGCTGCAGTTTCAGCCCAGTTAACCAAGCAGCACGTGGCTTTGGACAACCGGTCCCCGAACCACATTTCAATTTAACATGACCCTTCCATTTTGGACAGGCTTCCTCCTTGGTTTGGTAGCTGCGGGTTTTGGCCTTCCCACCTGGTTAACCAAGACATTGCATCACACAGACAGTATGCCAGATGTGGTCATTGCAGTGTCTTATATGGGTTTAGCAGTGAGGCAGAGTCACTTCCACAAAGAAATTTTTGTCTCTTCCTTCTCCACCTCATTTTATTTCTTCTCCTCTTTCCTGCTTGCAGCTGGGAGTACTACGTGAACGATGCACCGCGGATAGTCTTGAACAAGTTGGAGAGCTGTGGTTACCGGGTGGTGAGCATGACAGGCGTGGGCCAGACGTTGGTGTGGTGCCTCCACAAGGAATAGCGAGGAAGACTTCTGCGTTCCACTGGGGATCATCTCACACAGGACCGACAGCAAACTTTCCCCTTAATTCCTTTCTGTCCCAGACTCCAGGCACTCAGGCATGGAGGGAGGAGTGGTGTAGAGGCAAAACTTGACCCAATGGAAACTTGCCATTTCACAAGACCGGGGGGAGGCAGGTATGCCCAGTCCAGACAAAATCACATAGAGAACAGATGGCTCTCTCTCTGCATTCATCTGAATGGCAGTCCCTGCCATTTCACAAGACCAGGGGGAGGAAGGTATGCCCAGTCCAGACAAAATCACGTAGAGAACAGATGGCTCTCTCTCTCTGCATTCATCTGAATGGCAGTCTGGCAAATACCACCTTTTTACATTTTAATCATCTCCTATTTAGCATGCATTGGAGGAAGCTCAAATAACAGACTTGTCTGCCTGTTCCTCAGGGCTGCCCCAGAGAGGTACGTGCTGAGCTGTGAGAGTTCAGGGCATGCCTTCTCCCAAGCCATAGGGGGTAGGGAGGGGAGGCCGAGCATGGATGGCATACTATCTCATCCCTGAAACGTAAGCGGGAACTGCTAAACCTACACAGTGCTCTTTGAGAATCCCTTCACTCAGCAGCAAGGCCAGTTTCTTTCCCAAATGGGACTGTGGTTAGCAGCATCATCAGACTTTCAGCTCCAAGAGTGCCATTCAAGCATAACACATTGTTCCTGAAATAGCCTTAGAGCAGCACAGAAAGGTCTTGTGAACATTTTAGGTACGGGCTCTGTAATCTTAACAGCAGCAGCTGCAATGCTGGGTTGTTTGGGACTATGTACCAATCCTGCTGTAGGGGTAACACCAATAAAACATTTCTCTAAAGAGACCAATGACTTTCTGTGGGTTGTCTTAAACAGTTGTTGCCAAAGCCTTCTGAATCCACAGCTCCTGAACAAGCTGTCAGGAATTAAAAGCAGCTCCAAGGTTTAGTGCTCTGACAGCACCTCTCAGGCCCTATCCTCTGTGACTGGGCAGCTGCTCTGAGTACACACACTGACAGGTTAATACACTTACTCTGAAGCTTATGCAGCAATTTTTTTCCCCCCACGCTCTGGAAAGGGAGAGTTTGTATTCCTACAACAGTTTAAAAAAAAAAAGGAGGTTTATTGACTTAATTTAAGAAACAGCTTTGGAAATGAAGAATGATGGGATGGGGAGAATCCATACTCTCAGGCTAGGTGTGAGACTCTTCCTCATCTTCCCGCTTGAGCTGTTCAATAAGCTGCTGCCTCTCTGCTGCTTGGCGCATCCGCATCATCACCAGGCTCTCGTAATCCCGTTCTGATACCACTGATGCCTAGGAGCAGAAAATAAATGCAACCTGTCAAGCATATATCCCAGCCCCCCTCTCCATAAATCACACTCACAAGAGGCACATTCTAGTCAGGAAGGTGGTTCATAGCAGCATGACCCCAGAGAAATCAGGTAAGGGCAAAAGCTGCCTGGCCTACAGAAAATAACTGCTTCATAACAGTGTTACTGACGAGACCAAGAGTGGGACAGACAGGGAGCCTGCATTACCCTCTTGCTGCTGGAGCGAATCCCTGCTCATGAGGTTGGATGGGGAAGCATGGCTTGCCTCGCTGTGGTTGGTTATTTTGGGTGACAAGCTTGTTCAGCAAGTACAACACTGGTGCACAAAGTCCAGGATACACTTCATCCGTTATAAAGGCTAAGGCCATTTAAAAAAAAAAATCAAACCTTTCTGTGGTTTAGTCATGGAAGTGGCTGCAAAAAGAAAACCACCAGGTACGTTCCCAAACCTGACACAAGAGTGTTTTAGTTCTCAAAAGCTCTTGGAGCCTTCCTGCTGTGTGTGGTAGCAACTGTCATGTCAACTAAGTGGTGATTGCAGACTCTACCTAATAAATGTAGGCAGCAGATGACAGCTGCTATCGCAGAGCAAAGTGGTGGTTTTGGCACTCTGCCTTCAAAAGCCATTTAACATTAGTATTTCGGATGTATTCAAAGCACTGCAATGCTTGGAAACATCCATCTCATTTGCTTGACAGTTCAGGTAGAAATATAAGCATCTTGACAGAAGGTGGATGAAAAAAAAATCTCACATTCATTTTTCTAGGAACTAGATTTAGTGGCGATTTAAGGACATCTGAAATAGAAAATAGAAGGGATGAAAAGGCAATAGAATAGCTAAATAAGATTCTGCATGAAAATGGGGCAAGTGCAAATTTGTTATCATGTGCCAGCAAAGTGGTTCCTCCAGCTGCACAGTGTCTAGCTGCAAGGAGAAAATAGAAGCCCACAATAGATGAGAAACTTAGACTGGGAAATTAAAGAGACTAATATGCCATAATTGGTATCTTAGGAGCTGCATGAATGAAATAGCCTTTCAGTACTGCGCAGCACAGATTTTCAGTGTCTGAGAAAGCACCAGATTGTATCAGCCTTCAGTGGCAGAACTAGGCTTCTTCAAAGTTCCTGTCCACTAACCACAGATACTTACTGTCATTTGCCTGGCTGAATGAAATAGCCTACATGAGACTCATGCAGATGAATCACCCATACAAACCTGAATCACTACCTCACACTCTGGATTTTAATTTAAAACAGACAAGAGATTATTTCCGGCCTCATTTGGGAGCCCTGCTGATCCAACAAGCCATCAGAAGTGGCAGAAGGAAGAGCACCACGAGAAGAAACAGTCTGATTCAAGATGGGCTACAAGTCGATATTCACGTTGACAGTTCTCGAGCAATCTGGGTGCCTCTAAGGGAGCTTGCTTTCTCCTCAGGCAGAGTGTGGGCTGATGCTTTGCCACTCTACACACCTACTTCCTGCAATCCTGGCAATTACCAATAGTGTAAAACCCAGTTTCTGACGTGGCTGACTCAGCAAGGGCTTGGCTCAAAACAAATACATACGCACAAGGAACTGCAGCCTGGGAAGCAGTGACAGGAGGCACATGAAGAGAAGGAGGTATTGTGGATTTTTAGCGTTCCGGGTCCAACCTGGCTGAATCGTCCCCGGACTTGCTTCTTCCAACATCCCAGCATACTGGTGAACGTGGTGGTCACAGTTCTCTGAGTGCTTCAGCAGTTTCTTCTCACTGCCTGTTAGACTCAGGTGCTGCCCCGACACAGCGTAAGTCTATTTTGCATTAATTTTCCTAACATTTGTCTTTTACATCTGCGTTTTGTTGCTTTTTAAATTTCCATTTTACTGTATTTCTTTGGTTTCCTTCAGTGTGACTGAGTCACCATCTCCCTTCCTAACCACCCACTGAGATTTTTATACTGTGCCCTTCACCATGAAGGTGGCTGGTTACCATGGTACCAAAGTGCCCTTCTGTTCTAGATGCGAGATTAGATCTGTTCTCATGGTGACTGTGTGCCTTTGCTGTTCTTCATCAGCTTGTTTCTGCAGCACAGATTTAATAAGCTCAGACATCGCCATTCCTTCTCCACTGAAGAAGGAGACTCCTTAATATCCAAGACAGGCCAATTGCTCCTTAACACAGGGACGTAGTGTGAAGTTTGCATTTCCTGCAATACCAGCCTCTTTGTTTTCCTTCCAGCTACAGGAACAGGGAAGGAAGAGGTTGTTCCTGTTGTGTGGCTTGCTGCTGATCCTGCAACTTAAGTCCAATACCTGACTGTGAAGAGTCAGCAGTTTCCTTCTTCTCGTTGCCTTTCATCAGCATGGATACTTGGCGGAGAGGGTCCATTAAGTCCACAACGTTCTTCAGACGTTTCTCACTCAGGAGACACAAAAAGCTGGGCAACCAAGTCATCATCTTGAATCAGAACAGCCACACTCTGGACAGCGATGGACAGTGCCAGAAGAGGGAATGCTTGAGGGATCTGAAGGACAAGTCTGATTACCTGTCATGTCAGAGTGAGCAAAACCTAGCCAAGGCACAAGCACCTCCCAAGCCTCCCCGGCTGTACCTGGACAGTTCTAGCTGCCCTAACATCATTGATCACACAGATTCTCACTCTGACATCTCCTTTTCTGGCACTACTCATCAATACCACAAAGCCACTCAAACTCAATTCCACAGGGATCAGACTACAGACTGTGGGACCTCAGAGGCAGGTTCCCAGAATGGCACCACTCTTTCTGACCTGTCTGATCCCTTCCTCTCCTTCAAAGTGGATTTGGGGCTATCGCTTCTCGAGGATGTTCTGCAGACCCTCAGGAAACAGAATCCAAGAGATTATGCCATTTGAAGGTATTTATCATTTAACGTATCACATTTACTTACTGCTGCTGCCAGTTTCTCTAGTCCTAGCAGGAGGAAGGATGCTGCAGCATTCCTGTTGTGTGTGGCCTGTTTTGTTGTTGTCGCCTTACCCACCACAGACTGTCCTTGTCCTTGCCAAGGAGTCCTTCGGAGCACAGCTCACAGGCTCCATGCTCAGATGAGAGCACTGTCTGCTGGAACCTCGTGGGCAAGTTTCCATTCTCCACATTGGGAATTTCCCACTCTTGACTGTGCATCTCCTTCTCATGGAAGAATGGCATTGTTTGGCAAAAGAACTTGTTATTTTGGGGATGTGGCTGTGACACTGCGGAACACTGACAGAAAGGTATATGGCATACACCATTTGTGGATAAGCAGGCAGCTGGCAAGGAGACAGCAGCATTGCACCTCAAAGCCATAGCTATGGCAAGGGTCAAGAGACAGAAACCGGTGTTTCTTCTCCCACCATGTTTGGATGTGAAAAAATCAAAGCTGTTCCTCCTTTTTTTTCCTTGTGGGTTTCTTTTCCCCTAACTCAAGTGCAGTTGGCACTCCTAGCCTGGGAACAGGTAAGCATCCATGTAGGCTCATAATACAGCAACAGCAGTTTATTTATCCTACTAGCAGAAGAGATTTCTCTAGATACTGCTGCTTGAAGCATGCACTGATCTATCAGCTGTACAGATATGGAAGAATAAATGTATCTGTGACTGGAAGCGTCTTGTTGCCTCATTTCATTGGTAGCAAGCCAGAAAAAGCCTAGGCACCAAGAGCACAGGTCCCTTATCTGTAGTGACCAAGATCTATCCTCTCTGGCACTTCAGGTTTTTATGAGGGTGGGGAAGCAGTGTGGCTCTGCTTTTCTGGGCTGGGAGAAGGCTAGAGCTGCTGGTACTTTACCTTCCCCTGAGGAGAGTGCACACAGTTCAGGTCAAGAACCTGTGTTGAAATGAACAGTTCTTTACTCTGTGAGCTGGACAGTGGGAACAGCTCTGCCAGGCTGAGAACATTTTAGGCAGCATCAGGGCAAACTATTAAAAAGACACTGCAGAAGCTACTGGGTCACCAATTCTTACCTTTTTCATAGCTAGATTAGATACTAGGGCTCTTTTTAAAAAATAAAAAAATAAAACCTCCATGCACCCAGATAACCATAAGCTTTGGAAGCCAGCTACAGCAAAGTGCAGAGAGACATTTCAGAGAAGGCACAGATGGCTCTTAACTTACTAGATTCACATCAGGCTCTGAAGTCAGATGATACAAAACAAACTCTATGAAACCTCAATGGAGCTTAGAAAAGATGCAAGAGTGCCAGACAGAAGGCTTTTCTCAGCACTTTAATATGGCTGAATGAATGGCCCAAAATGAATGAGGAGCACTGGCAGGGAGATCCTACTACTAAAGATGCAAGGAAGACCTTCCCAGAAGTGAGTGCTCCATGCTGTTGCAGTGGCAAAATATGCTCTTCACAGCGTTGTACACCTGTTGTGTGCTTTGAACCATTCAGAGCTGCAGCAATCAAATAGTCGTTGCTCTCAAATAGCCTAGAGCAACACTGGCCAAGCCACAGCTTTTGTAATTCAAGCATAACTCGCCTGTTTGGCTCCAGCAGCTCTCCAGGAACTGCTGGACAACGTGCACCCATTGCTGTAGAAAACAAGCCAACCAAGACAGTGGAGGCAAGTATCTTACAACTTACTGCCTCCTCACAGCACCACTTCTCAACAATCAGCCTTGCTTTCACCTGGGAACTGCTTCCAAAGCCCCCTGGTCTAGTAAGTGGCTGTCCTTTATTTGAAGACTTCGGTGCAGAGCTCCTGGCTAACTACCCCAGGCAGGGAGCAGACACAGCTCTGAAGCAGATGAGTAGTGAGTGCGTTGCCATGAGAACGCTGCAGGTCTTTGGCTGTTTTCTGAAGCAGAGCAGG